TTTATTTAAAGTATATTAGTATAATTTATAATATGATTTGCTATAATAAGCCTTTTTAATACCTAGTAGTAAAGGCGGAAATTAAATAATAATTAAAGGCGAATACTAATTAATATAGAGAATTATATTGGATTTAGTATAAGAATATAGCTAAGTGGGTTTAAATTACTTTTAAATAAATTCGGAAATATAAAATAAGACTATTTAAGGGTAATAAGTCTTATTTTAGGTATATTAAGGAGAAATTAGATTAGCTAATAAAAGAGAATCCTGATTATTTTATTATTTCGGACTCTAAATAAGATTTTTCTATTATTTTTAGTATTTAAGAAATAAGTATAAATAAATAGGGGGCCAGATATAGTATGGCAGGCTATACTTTCCAAAAATTATATTATTTTAGTAGTTTTGAGGTTTTGGTTATATAGTAAAGGCTATAGCCTTTTATATATAACTTATAGAAATCATATAAGAAAGCTAGTTTTTCTATAGTTCTAGAGAATAATCCCTTATAAATATTTAATTAATTAAGCTTTTATATACTATATACTATTTATATTTTATTATTTACGCTTTTGATTTATTATTTTGCTATTAAGTCACGTTTTGCACTCTGGTATACTTTATGTGGGTTTTTGTCTTATTATAGTTTCCCTCCTATACTATATAGTAATAATGAATATTTGACTCTCTATATTAACTTCTACTCTAATAAACTCTAACTCCCATAAAGTTTTTATAAGTCACGGGGCCTAGCCAGGTACTAGTACTAGTGCCTCTCGCTAGACATTGCTATAATTATAGCACTTGTATTACTAACTTATAGTACTTGTCTCGCTATAATTATAGCGCACGTATCGCTAACTTGTAGCGCCTACCTCGCTAAGTTATAGCGCTTATATAGGTACCTTCTATATCTTTATTACTAGAAGGGGGAGGAGCCTCTACTAGTAAGGGCTTAGGCAATATTAAAGGTAGTGGCGACGGTGAGAGGCGAATATCCATTGTTGCTATGTAACTATATCGGTCATGTATCAATTGCAGGCACAATTATAGTGAAGGTGGATGCATACGGCAGGGCGAGGGCATTTTGGTGTTGGGGAGTGCAGAAACCGTCAGTGTATTGGAACCCGACCACCAAGGGGTGCAGGAATACGTAGCCCACCTAGAATTTTAACTCGAATTCTATTGTATACGCACAACTTTTCAGCGCAGAAAAAGTATCAAGAAATGTTAAACTCGCATTCTAGAGTATTTCTTGTAAGCGAAACTATTTGCTAGCTGTTGCGGTTGTTGAGATATTCGTGGTGTTCTTCGCTTGGGTGGCCCACGTATTCCTGCACCCCTTGGTGGACGTCCCTGGAGGAGCTGACTAAGTCTCGTATCGCGTATCGAATCGTCTCCGAGTGGATAAACGAGAGGCACCCATCACAGTTTCGAGTTTCGCCAGTCAGGTACTCGTCTTTATACGTTTTACATCTCAATTGCACTCTTTCCAATATGTATTGGTAAACTACATAATGACTTTCATCATATCCTCCTCAACTCACAGCACTTGTTCTAAGCTAAGCTTATACCTCTTAAGAGAGAATAAGTGCCGCTTTCTCTCAACCAAGACGAAATTACCTTTTTCCCACGAAAGTTAGACTCTAATCTCATCCTTGCGGGTTCCCTTTTATTCTCTGGACGTGAGCAGCTACTACTTTAACCTAAGCTAACGGTTAGCGTACCTAGAAGGGTTCACCCACCAACCGCCCAAACCCCCATTCCGCCCAACCAAAAAATCATCGCTTTTCATCATTAATTACAACACAACCAATTAATGAATTTTATTGATTTCGGCGCCATTTTAGTCGCATTTAGTCCCTCTTCAAATCTGGCACCATATCTATCAAGAAGAAACCGATTATCGACTACCCTAATAACCCTGACAAGATACCGTATTACGAATGCTTGGAAATAGCTTGGGAGGCCTATATTAACTCGAATAGGAAGCTATTAATACGAAAAGTAGCTAAATACTACAGGGTTAAATAGGAGACTCTGCGAGATCGAATTAATAGTAATATAATATATAAATAAGCGGCAGAATTATAGTAGTACCTGATTCTAATAAAAGAATAAATAATTAAATAATATATTATATAATTTAAGATTTAGGAATAGTCTCTAATAGTTTCCTAGATTCAGAAAATAGTAAAGAAGTTTTTAATTATAAAGGAAGATCTATAGAAAGTTGGAATTAACTAAATATAGAAATATCTTAAATATTATTTATAGCTTAAGGCTTAATTTATTATATTATTAGATAAAGATTAAGTTATCTTAAAAAATCTAAATTAAATTTAATACTTTTTTAAACTTTTCTAAACTATGAAAAATAAATATAATATTTATAATAATAATATATTTAATATAAATAAGAAAGATATTATAATAGAAATATTAGTAAAGCTTAAAATTATTTATTTCAAGAAATATAAAAAGATAAGAATAATATAATAAGGAAATAAAGAATAGGTATTATTAATTAAATATATATCTTTAAATAAAAAAGTATTCTTTCTATATATTATCTTTAAGGCCAAATAGCTTAATAAGGCTTAAATATAACGAATTTAGGAAAAATAAAAAGGAAACTTATATTATTTCTAATTAAAGTTAGATAAATAATAAGCTTTACCTTAAATAGTTTAAAATTGTTTTTAAATTAGAAACTATAAAGATTAAAAAAATAAAGTATTAAATACTACTTTTTAATAGCTATAAATCTCACTTAATATATTAAGTAGTTTTTTACTATTTAGAAAAGAAAATTATCTTACTTTATTTTCTTAACTATTTTATATATATCTTTTAATTATATAATATTAGTATTTCTGAATTACTTATAAATACTTATTATAAGATTCTTATAGAAAAGACTTAATAGGAAACTAGATATTCTATTAATAAACTTATGTTTTTAGAAATTCTTTATAAGATACGAATTTAAGCCTTTATTAAATATAATATTAAGAGATCTTAGGAAAAAATAAAGCTCTTTTTATTTAATTCTAAAGTTATAATTAGCTTACTTTTAATAATTATTCTATAATAAGAAGTAGCTAAAATAAAGGCACTTCTAAAACCTTCTAATTAACTAACTATATTTAGATAACTAGCTCTCTTAATTATTAAAACTCCTATTAATATTAGTATTATTAAAGTTATTATTAAAGTATTTTTTAAGTCTAGCTTTAATAGCCTTAAAAGTATATTTGAAATAATTAATTTATTATAAGATTAATAGCTAAAAAATCTAGAGATTATAATTTAGAAGCTTAGTAATTCTATTATTACTATAATTATAAAAATAGTTCTTACTAAAGAAATTAATTAAGAGCTTATTAAATTATCTAATTATTAAAAGATTTATAAGAAAGCTTTTATAAAAGCCAAAGACAAGATTACTAATATAAGAGTCTTAAGCTTAAAAATAATAAATAAAATAATATGAATTAAAGCGAAATAAAAGAAAATAAAAGTAAAAGAGCTTATAAAGTAAAAGAGACTCAAGGCTATTTCAAAGTAGTAAAAAAGCCTTTATAATTAAATCTTAATTAAATTCAGGAAATAGAGCCCTAAAATCCTTTAGGAAATTAAAAATAATATAAATCTTAAGTATTAACTATTAATCGAAATAAGTTTATTAAAAGCTTTAAAAATATTAAGATATTATATAAAGAAAGTATTATTAGTAAGCTCTTTAATTAAGTATATCCTTCCTTATATTAAGTTTAATAATCTCTTTAATTTTCTTATAAAAGTATAATTAACTAATTTTCTTTCTTTTATACTTATAACTTCTTTCTATTTCCATTTTATTAAAACGAAGATCTCTAGTAAAGTAATTAATAAAACGAAAAATAAGGATGGTAAAGGAGGTAATTAATAAAGTAATTAAACCTTTAGAGACTCTTATAATTAGTAAATAAAAAAGTAAAAGAAAACTATTTTATAATAAAGTATTTATAAAGGGTTTAGCTAATTAGAAGACATAGATATAATATAAATGAAATGGCTATTTTTGAGCTTTTTATAAACCGAAATTCGATTCTATATAATATCCCTGGGAAAGATACTTTAGTTCTAAGTAGCAAGTATAAGGTACCTGAATTTAGGCTTGTTTCTTTATTAAATACAAGTTACTAATTCTCTCTTATAGGATTACACTCGCACAAACTACCTTATTTATAATTCTATTAATACTAATAGCTTTAGAAGGTATTAAGAAACTAATTTCGGTATTAAAGATCAAATTTTAATAGGAGTTTTAATAGTTATTAAGGAAGAATCAAAAATCGCGATTTTTTGGTTGGGCGGAATGGGGGTTTGGGCGGTTGGTGGGTGAACCCTTCTAATTAGAGCACATAAAATAATTACACACAACGTCTCTTTCTGTTATAACACGTGAGTTACGCAAGGATTTAACGTGAGCTATAAGTAAGTAACTTGAGCCACGGCTAAGCACGGTATAAGCCAAAATGTTTTAGTATAAGCGTGTTTATTTTAAGCATAGGCTACTTTAATTATAGTTAATTTTATCTTTAAGTAAAGTAAAGGAGGTTTAAAACTGGCTCCAGGAGCTTATAATAACACGGAAGAGCTGAGAAATAAGCACGCGAACCAAATAAATGCGAGAAATGTTGCCGAATTGTATTAATATTATCTCCAAAAGTGCTCAATGAATGACAGGCTTTCCATGAGCCGCAAAGACACAATAACCAACACCCATCCGCGCAAAGAGTGTCCGGCCACATTGCACATCTTCCTGAGTCATAGAAGTTTTCGAAATGAAAATACCTGCATAAAAGCCATACTGTATTACCATCTCAGTCTGTAGCAGGCTGCCTCGGCTGCGGTATCATTCCCTTCGTCGAGTACCCCAACGGCATCCCCACGAGATACTTCTGCATACTCGTTGGATTCCCCTGCGCGTCCGATCCTTGCGATCCCAAAATCTGAAGATCAGCACTCTGCTGGAAAACCAGTACAATATCACTTCCTCCAAATTCAAAGTGACTGATCTCTTGACCCTTGGTGACTACATCACCCTGCGAGACCGCAAGCTTGACGGATGAGACCTGGCACATGCCGATAGGCAAGACGGCGACGTAGCCCAAGAGCTCGTTGTCGATGATGACGCAGCCACGGGTCTGCAGCCATTGGTATCCGGCATCATCAGGTGCGTCTAGAGTCCCGGCGAGGCCTCTGCTCGGATCGCGGTGTTTCTTGTCCGGGTTGATGTAGCTACGGTGCGGGCGCAATTGATGCGTGTCAGGATCCACGGTGACTTGCAGGTAAGCCATGGCCTGAATGACATTCGCCTCTACGACCGTGCCAGCGATCGGAGCGTGCTGGCGGTGGTAATCGTAGGTGTTGAGGAAAGCGTGCATCCAAATGCCTCCCGTGAAGAAAGGGGCATATTTTGGGGCGTGTTCATTAAGAAGGTCTTTGACGTTCCACTCGATGCCTTTGATGTTGACGTTGTCACTAGAATCGATAGACCAAGCTCCGTCGAAGGTGCTGTCGGCGGGAAAGGTGACAAGGCGGTCGTAGTTGGGATCTTGCGGGCTGTCACTGCTGATGGGACGCATGCCTGGTTTAAGCGTGCGCGCGAACAGCTCATTGAAAGTGGTGAAGCCGCCAGCTGGCTCAACGGCCTGTGTATAATTGTACAGTGGCGAGTTCTTGAAGCTGTCAATAGCAACCGTGGTGAGAGAGCCCGTAGTACTCATCCAGCTGCCGACCTCATTGGCAAAGTCGACAATGAACTGGCTAAGCTTGAGTAGAGGCTGTCCGATGGAGCTTGGAGCGATCGGATTCTGGTATGGCGGGGTATTGAGAGGAGCCTGGTCGAAAACAAAATAGACCACACACTGCGCATTGTAGATTTCCTTGCCAGTGGTGATTTCGTTGGGAACCCAGGTAAGAAAGCCGCTCAAAAACCTCAGGAACGCGTCAGTATCGACGATTTTCCAGTCAGAGAATTGGATGACGCCAGAAGTCAGTGCAGTCCCCACTGCAGTGTTCAAATCAGTGAGATCTCCATTGAAGACCCCTTTGACGAGGTGGTCAATGATCCATTGGGCTACGATCGGTGGAAGTGGGAATGGGGGAGGGTCAGAGTCAGACATTGTGGGTGATTCGTGTATCAGAGCTTCCTTGGTCGATTATCTTTCAGTTTGGATAAGAAGTTGAAGTGTTGTGCAAGTTAACAGCTCCAGTGTCCAGCTTATATAGACTAGAACTGTGTCGTCGTAGGCTCTGGACAGTCAAGGAAGCTGAATGGAGACATGCAGCTATGTCTTTCAGCTGAAGACTTGTTTTGCCCAGGTATGATTGCTTCTTATGGGCTGGCTGACCGTGCTCGTACTGCAAAACGGTCACTATCTAGAGCAGACTCCATTCGATGGGTCTCGCATGTGTTCTTTTGGAGGATTCTGTTTCAAAGAATCAGCTTGGAGATCTTCACTAAACACCTACCTTTCAGGTCTCCACAGGTCCTTCTCCGCCCAGTTTGGGCAGCCAGGGCAATTCCCACGACATCTTAATTCGTAGGTTATGCTGTACGAGGGTCATGTCGCAAACTGTTGACGCGCGCCTCAAAGTCAAGAATTGCGAACGCGAGCAAATCGTGCGCCGTTCTCCACGGGCAACAGAAGCCTCTTGAGGCTTCAAAGGGCTGAAGGAGAGCCGATGACACCAGAAGGTGGCACGCACGTGAAAGTGGTTGTCCATGGCCACCAGAATGATCAGGCTGAGCTGAGATATGCATATCCTCCTCCTTCGAGGTGATAGCGAACGGTCCAAAGGGTGTCCCTTTGAGACCAAAAGCTGGTAATGGCTCAAATAATGGCAGGTTCCGAGCGCTTATGTGCTGCAAGTTTCTATATATTGAGACGAGGCGTACAGGTAGACAGTTCGCTGGTTAGAGAAGAGCTGAGATTCCTGTTCGGTGTGATGTTATTGCGAGATGTGTGATGGTGGGTAACACAAGACCGCTACGGACAAACGGACAAATGTTCCTGGTTCTTAGTGCTCAGCTCTACTTTGATCAGCCATTACGGCAGCCTCGTCGCGAAAATGGAGAGCTGTGAACCCATGAACGAGGAAAAGAGGCGACAAGGCAGAGAAATACAGGGTTGAGCATGTCTTAGGAAGTTCTCATACCGGACTATTGGGCATTGCAAACGAGTGCAATCGAGGGGAACATGAGACTATTAAGCGAATTGAATCCCTCCAAAATTACGCCCGTCTCCATTCAAACTATACGTAAATATCACTTGCAATTGCGAATACCACCGCAGCGACACACCATCATACTTGACTGCCAATATGCCTGGTATTTCCTTTCCATTTTCTCCTATTTGCTCCTCCCTCCGTCCTTCCCCCTCTTCTTTACCCCCACGGCTGACCGATTTCCATCCGGCACGCATCAGCTAAAGCACCGCTTCGGCATCCGCTGCATGCACATCATCTCCGGCATCTGCCGGTGCGAATCAGCCCATCTGAAGCTTGTGTAACCTTGTGGCAGAGCGGACGTGATGCCCATTTCTCCTCAGTCAATGGTCGTATGTAAAAGGATATTCCTTAATACCGAGGCCTCCAACCCCTGTTACCGAGGCCGATAGCGATGCTCCTGCCAAAACCCCGAAATGACATTGCATAATGCATTTGCGCACATTGCACTCGACACTAGAAAATCAAAATTTAATAATTAATAATTCTATTACTAATACGTAATATCCAAGCCTCATTGGATATATTTAAGTCATTTTGGGCTAATTGGGTAAAGCAGATAGCATTAATTCTAAGAATAATTCAAGTTAATGGATTATGGGGGTATAAAGCCTGTCATTCACGTGACTCACCCCCCCTCCCCAATGCCTCGCAGTACTAGAAACCTAACAGATTTATCTAATATTAAATTAATAATAGAGATATACGTAATAGCAAATAATTTATCCCATTTATACGCCTCTTTAAGCCTTAGAAATACATATATTTCTAGGCTACAGATATTCGGATAGGAGCACTAGTTCATTTACTATTAATAAGTATTTGCTATCAAATCTAATTAGTTAAAATATATTAAGAATAAAATACTACTAATCTAGCTTTACGGTACTAATATGCATATAAAATTAGTATAGAAAATCAAGGTAATAGTTAACCCGTTACTTGCTATTAACCTCGCCATTCCCAGCTTCCCCATAGGTTTTTCATCCTTATACTAGAATATAGATAAAGAGAAAGAAAGGGAGAGAAGGAGGAGAAGATATATATAAAGATTTAAGGGAGTAGTTACTATATATCGGGGGTACTAATTTTCGGCGATTTTCAGGCAATTTTCGGGCATTTCTCCCCTACCCTATTATATCCCACCCTACCATACTCCACCCCGTAGGCTTTCCATTTATATACCGGAATATAGATAAAGAGAACGAAAGGGTAAGGGAAAAAGAGAGAAATATCTATTTTTGGAAGAAGTAGTTATTATATATCGCGATTACTAATTTTCAGACGATTTTCCTGCAATTTTCGGCATTTCTCACCCTAATTAATATAAAAACACCACTAATTACCAGAAACTTAAAATCTCTATAATATTCATTAACTAGCTATATAGCAAGAGTATTAGGGTCGGTATATAATACAGATTATATATAGTCTAGAAATCAAGTTTATTTATATTAACCAGCCTCGTTTTTCTAATACCAAAACACTAACCTTTAGTACTTCGTAATAGTATAAATTTGGGAGCTAAATTTTAAAATAATATTAATAGCAAGAATATATATAATAGCAAAAAATTATCCTATCTTTTGGCTTACTTAAGTAAAAATATATATATATTTCTCTACCCAAATATCCGGATAAAAGGACTATCTTATTTACTATTATATAGCCCATTATTATTACGTCTGGATTTTTCATAGAAATTAAGAATATAATACTACTAATTCCGCTTAATAATACAAAAGTATATATAAAATTAGTATAAAAAATAAAGGTTTTGGCCATATTCATACTAGCAAAAGTAGTCAATAATAGTCTTCCCATTATAGGGCTTCCAGTTTGGCATTTTATATATTGAGAAAAGAAGCAGGAAGAGAGGAAAAGAGGGATATATATATATGAATAAGCAAGTAATTACAATAGTAGAAAAGTCATAGAAATATAGGATAAGTCATATAACATTCACTTTATATTAACCACCCCCTTGCCCCGATTATTTAAAGACTCCTTTATACTACCTGACTCTTCTTTTTTATAACTATTTTCCCATTATTATATAACCTCTATATAAGCTCTTAGTATATTTCAAATAGGAATAATCCATTAAAAAATAATCCAGATTTAAGGCCTATACTAGCCGCCTTTATCTTCCATCTCCTTAATACCTTAATACCTTCCTTTAATATAATTACTATAGCCGCTTATACGAATTAAGACAACTTCCCAGTTAATAATAAGGGCGAACTTCAAGTTACTACTACCCGGGTAAGCTACTTCTCTTACCAGATAATATATAGGGCTAATATAATTAGCTCTGGGCTTATAGGATAATAGTAAAGCAGAATAAGATTATTAGTATTAATTAAGTACCCAAAAGACTTCCCAAGTTTCGGAACTATAACGCAAACTATATAGATATCCTTCTAATTAGTAAAGTACTATATAATTATCAAGTTTTTAAAGCCATTCTAATTTAATACTAGTAAGTCATTTAGCTAGCCTAGCTATAGGACTTTCCTAATCAGGTTCAGTGGAGTTTTACAGACTGCCAACCCGTATAAAAAGTATATAAACGAGCAAGGAATCTTTATAGGCTATATTAAGCTAGAGAATTATTATAATAGTATATATAGTAACTATAAGAGGCAAGACAAGAAAGCCAATTACAAAGTAAGAGATATAGATAAATATAAGTTTAGGTATATAGAGGAACCACTAAAAGAGAAGTATAAAATAGTAAGGGGAAGAAGAACTATAAAGCTAGTTAACTATAAACCGGCTAATAGAAGGAAGACTCAATAAATAAAGCCTAGTTATATAGTAAATAGGGGGATTTTATATACTTAAAAATACCTAAAAGCATGGCTTTTATATATAGAAAAACGTATGGAATTCAATTATCTAGTCTCAATTCTATAAGATAAACTAAAACTCCAGAAATAGCTAGTTAAGAGCCAAGTAAGTAAATAAGTTCTAACTAAATATAGCTTGGATCTAATTATAGTAAAAGATCTAATTATTTCTTATAGTTAATAGGTTTAGTAATACGTTTTACGCGAGTTATATAATAGAATTACTCAGGAAAAACAGGCTTAACTATCTCTAGGTACTAGCGGGAAGCAGGTATTTTCCGACGTTTGGTATTAGCGGTAGGAGTAGGGATAGGTAGTTAGGTCAAAGGCGGCGGATAGTTATTAGGCTCTAGAGAGAAATCAGAAGGTCTAGGAAATGGCTCTTCTAATATAGGTATATTAGATTCTAATAAGGATATAGAAATTGGGCAATTAGACAAACCTATAGTAGGCTTCTCCGAGGCAGGTTAATTCGTAATTAGGTTAGAGTTCGCTAGTAAATCGGGATCCTAGATAAATATATATTAGAAAAAAAGAATAAGAGAGGAGATAGGTTTATATAATTATTCCAAACTCTGCCCGAGGGTTAATAATAGTAGAAGAACTAGAAGTTTCATGTTCTAGTCTATCTATCCCAAAAGTTACTCCAGGAGTTTTATTTCCCGGAGCAACTAATTATACCCTGGAGTTTATAGTAAAGGGATTATCAGGATCAAGAATATAACCAAGCCGAATTAGCTCTTTATACTTAGTATAATTAAGTATTCTAAAAGCGTTATAGTCGGATATATTACTTGGCACCCGTATAGTAACACTTGCTCCAAGTCCCCGGGTACTAGTAAGCAGTGGCTTGAGGCCATAGATATACTTCCTAACTAATTAGATTATTAATAGGGTAATATTATAGGGCTTGGGGTTCTTTTTACTACTAGAACAAAGCTTAAACTACTTCTTTTAAGACTGGAAAGTAATATAGTTATTATATTACAAATGACTATAGAACCGGCGTTCTTCGAATATTAGCCAAACGTACTCTAATATAAACTCCTCAATAGAGGAAATAGTGTGGTTTTGGAAGTAGTAAACATACTCGGCTATAAATATTAGTAGTTATATAGTATAAGAAAGGAGGGGGGATATAATTACTAGCTTCCCTGTACTTTAATTACGTCTTAGTATTCTCCCAATAGGCATCTGGCGACATATACTCGAACTCACGTATAACCTAGTATATTAGAAACTTCTCTAGTACCGATTATATCTTACCCTTTTTCCTTTTCCCACCAGGGTTACTCATTAGCTATATTAAGGTCGCGGGAGTAGTAGAGAGTAGCTCTATAAGGTTACCCATACGTTAAGAAATAGGAAGTTATCTAGTATAAGAAGGATTATATACTATAGTAGTCAGATTATCTCGATATCTAGTACTCTGGATTACTTGAGATCCCACTATACCAGAAGGGCTATTATTAGCAGGATCGGCTCTATTTCCAAGAGTATAAAATCTAAAGGAGGAGAAATAAGATAGACGAGATACCAGAACTTACTAAGGGCCGCCTATTAAAGTAGATCCGGAAAGTAGTTATTAAGAGGCATGGGCACTAGAAATAGGCTAGCCAAGAAGAGAAAAAGAAGCTAAAATACCGCCGGATATTATAGGAAGCTAGCTAATACCAGGTTATATAGGGGCAGTAAAATAAGTAGTAGAAATAGAGATTTATAGACCAGATTTGGTACTATTAGGTCTATAAGTATAATACTAATTACAGAACTCAATAGTAAACCCATAGAAGCACTTCTTGGGATCTCGGGCCATATTTAGGCAGGTATCTTGCCATAAAGTTATATATTTCAAAAGATTAATTAAAGTTAGTTCAGATATTATAATTGAAATTTTAAGGAAAGTTAAGGGATTTGAGGTATAGAATTAGTTATACGAATAGCTAGAAAGTGATTTCTATAAGTAGATAATAAAGAAGTTAGAGAGGGGGGCATATATCTTATATATCCAAGCTAACTAACCCTTCCTGAGACTACCCGCAATTCAAGCCATTATCCCTAATATAAAGAAAGCCTTCCGGGGGGGTTAGTAATACTATAGGTTAGAAAGTCTGACTGCTCTATAGTACCTGAGCTCGGAAATCAAGATTAGACTAGAAGATTTTACTCAGGGCACCTCTTCTTATAATAGCTGCTCTATATTCCCCGTATAAAATAACTAATTCAGCTAGAACTAGAAGTATTACGGCGTATATATAATCATAAATTATAGCTCAAAGCATATAGTACGTATAAACATGCAAAGAAGTATTACTACCTGTTTTAATATCCGAGAGCTTCAAAGTATTAAGGTTAATACTATAGGAAAGTAGAGCCTGGCGGCACTAATCAAGTATTACCGATAAGAGATACTCATTAAGATCTACGAAAATTAGTATACGGAGTAAGCTAATAAATAACTAAAAAAATACATAAATCTCACCCTAATACTCGTAATCCTTAAGGATCCTATTATAGAGATTTATATCTATAGGTTAACCATACTATTCGGCCCCTTGCTTCAGATACCGGTAAAAAAAGAAGGGCTTCCCCGAAACATGATTTTGGTATATAGGATCTGCCCTAATTATATATATATTCCACAAATTAGTATATCCAAAGACCTTGTCCCTGATTCTGGATATATAGAGTACTAATAGTATAATCCGATCCCATAGGTTCTAAGAATTATATCACCCTTTATTTACTAGTTCTATAAAGTAATTCTATAAGTAGATATTAGCTAGATTATATATATATACTGGAACAAGATTCCGAATAGCTTTAACCAAAAAAAGCAGTATAATAAGTAATATAGGAAAGCCTAACTCATATGCCACCGAAATAATTAGGAAATCTCTAGCTCCTGCTACCAGGATTTAATATACTAATTCTTGGTACTTTTCCCGAAATAGAAATAGTCTTAAATATAAAGAATAGAAGGATCTATAAGACAAAAGAAGCAAAAGTATACCTCTATAATAAGAGGAAGCTCACTACCTTTATTAGCCCGAAAGAATATAGGAATATAGCCCAATTGGGTACAAGTCATAAGATACTACTATACTACTAAATAAAATATATAATTTAATATACTAATATAAATCCAAATAATGGCCCGAGAATAGGCATTAATATACGTATAAATATTAATACTAAACGGAGATAGCTTATTATACCTATTAATTAACCAAATATAGTCCGGGCCAGGTATAATATACTCTCCCTTATTTAATTATATCCTTCTTATTCGTTAAATAATAGCTTCGGGGTTAAGAATATATAATATTATAAATAAGGTATCTCTATATAGAACCCAATTAATTAGACCATATACTTATAAACTAAGATTATAAGAAATTAACGGAAAATAAGAGAAGAAGATACCGAGTAACCAATTAGCCATTTTTTCGGAAATAGTCATATAAAAGCCTCCGCCTATAGCCTTTAATTCGGCCATTATCGAGCTCTTCCCGCAGGACTTCAAATAGCTAAGTATTTCTTTCTTTCCTCTCAAATACGCCTATTCGCCATAGAAGCCTAATCTCCCTCCATAGACGTATTACTTGAAATTTATTAATATTATATCCGTAATACTAAAGCTCAATAACTATCTCATTATTAATATAGCTTATCCTAAATAGTATAGTAATCTGAGTATATAGATTTGGCGTATCTTGAGTAATTACATATCTGCAAATACCCCAGAATTATAGTTATTAATAAATCATTCTTTCTGAGACTATCTAGCTAAAGGTGGTTTCAATATTTTAGGCGATTTCTTTAGTTATATAGTGGGCCCGCATCTAGCTAATAATATAAGCTCGGATTAGGTCTAGATCTATCCTTGGGCAAGGCATCTTAATAGATTTATAGAGGGTTATGGTTATTTTAATGGTTTTAATAATTTTCGCAGTATTATTAATAAGGGAAATATAAAATCGCGATTTCTGGGAGTAATTAAAATTAGGCGAGGCTCACTAAAAAGCGCTAAATTACTATGGTAACCGAGCGATTTTCAGTACATTAACCCCCCCAAACTTTGCGAATAATAAATAGTTAATATTAAAGTATATTTATTACTAATAATAATAGCAAGTAATATGTATAATTAATTCTCGATTTGTAATTGAACCTTAATACTATTAGTTCCAGGGTCTAGCCCTAATTAAATACAGTATTTCTAATACCTAAAGTAATACTAAAAGTCAAGTGCAATATGCGAATACACTACGCAAAGTGCGAATGCGCTATGTGCAAAGTGCTAATATCGAATGCAATTAAAAATCGGGGTTTTGGCAGTACAGGGGTTAGAGGCCTCGGTACCTGTACTGCCAAAACCCTGATTTTTCATGACATTTCGCATTTGCGCATTGCACATTGCGCATTCGCACATTGCACTTAGCTTTTGAGATTTTTAAATAAAGTAATTATGTAAATTCCTATTAATCTATTTAATTCTCTATTAAATTCTCTCTAGATTTATGAGGGCTATTTTTAGAAATTCTTATATAAGTAATTAAATTTAATGTTTTATTAAATAAAAGAAAGAAAATTCGAGGGCGTATGGCCTGAGAGTATACGAGCCTTCGGAGTATCCCTTCGTCGGCCATCAACTGTCCACGCTAGCAGGGGGGGCTTGGCTCAGGGCGAAAACGTGTGCCTTTGCTTAGAAACCTATTAGTCATCTATCGCGTTTTCGCGTTTTCGCCCTGAGCCAAGCCCCCCCTGCTAGCGTGGACAGTTGATGGCCGACGAAGGGATAATATTAATATATAATCCCTAAATCTGCCAAGCCTAAAGGGGTCTAGTCTACTAGTGTGGTACGGCAGGCCGTACTCGTCGAAAATCATATTGTTTTGGCGGTTTTGAGGTTTAGGTCATATGGTAAAGGCCGTAGCCTTTTATATATAACTTGCGGAAATCACATAAGAAAGCTGGTTTTTCTATAGACTTAGAGAAGAATCCTTTATAAGTATTTAATTAATTAAGCTTTTGTATACTATATACTATTTATACTTTACTATTTATGCTTTTAATTTATTATTTTACTATTAAGTTACATTTTGTACTCTGGTATACTTTATATAGGTTTTTGTCTTATTATAGTTTCCCTCTTATATATTTTATAGTAAGTAATATAGGGAGAATAGAAACTTTATAGTTAAGGTAATATTCTTATAAAGTTCTAAGAAATATCTATAAGGCGGATTATTAGTTTAGTAAGTTAGGAGAGAAAAGGGCTATTATAATATCTTGAGCCTAAAGCCAAAATATTAAAGATATACGAGTATTAATTTTAGTATTTTATATTAATTTCCGATATACCCAATAACTTAGATACGGGTTAGCCATAAGATATAATTACTAGTATAATATATAGGGGTAATAGAAATAGAGGCTAATTATAGAAGGAAAAGAAGTAAAGGAAATAAAATAAGAAATATTATACTAAGATAGTATAAGTTAGACCTTAGTTAGAATTAGACTTTAGTACTTGGAAATAAAGTTATACTATTAATTTATATATTATTTTTAGTTATAGTAAAAGCCGGAATTAAAATAGCTTTAATTTTAGTAATAAAGCTTATTTCTAAGTCCGAAAAAGATACCTAAAAAAGGAAATATTTTCAAATTTAAATAAAATAATAAACTAGAATTAGAAATAAAAATTAAAAAGAAATCAAAAATAAGAAATTATATAAATAAACTAGAGAAGTTTCTAGAAAAAGAAATAAATACTAAATAAAGAAAAAAAAGAGAATTTAGAAAAGTCAGAAAAATTAGTAAAATTATATTTATTATTTTTATTATTACTTTTAATAATATTAATAAATATATTTAATTTAGTAAAATTAAGGGAAAATACTATAGGTATTAAGCTAAAGAAATAGGAAAAAAAGTATAAGTAATAGAAATAAGACTAGAAAAGCTACTATCTTATTATTACTAATATTAAAATTTAAACCTTAATTATATCTATTATTATTAACCGGTTTTTCCCTAATTCCGGTTTCTAAACTAAAAGATATACTTAAATAGGAAATTAGTTCTTTAGAAACCTTATTAGTAAAAGTCTCAGATATGGAAACTTTATAATTAACTATAAAAGAAATTATTAAAATTAATATAACTAAGAATAAATATATATTAGTACCGGATTTAAACCTATTATTTATAAGAGCTTCTAAAATATTATAGTTTTAGGAAAGTAATATCTCTATATTCTTTAAATAATATATAAATATATATAAGAACTATTATATTTCTAATAATACTAAAAGAGAAAGAATTATCTATTATGTTTCTCTTATTTATAAGAATTAGATTAAGGCTATATTAGAGTACTATATTAATAATCTAGGAAATTATTAGAAAACTAAGTTCTTTAAGGCCTTACTAAAGGAATTCCGAGAATATAATTAGGAAATACTTAAAATTAGCTATAATTTTCTTAATTAAATTATTATATAAGCCTAGAATAAAGAAATCTTATTTAAGTCTTATATTAATATATTTAATAAAATATTAAAGGAATTACTAAAGAGAAAAAAAATAAATAAAATTATTTAGTACTGAGAATTTATAAAAAAATTATTTATTCTAGTAAAAGATTATATTTTTAAGAATATAAACTTTAAGCCTATAGATATTTCTACTTATAAATATAATAAGATATATAAGAAAGTAATAATATTTTATTAGTATAAAAAAAAGAAATATTATTTTAATATTACTAATAACTTAAATATATTTAGACTTAGATAAGAATACTTAGATATAATAATTTATAATATAATTCCTAAACTAGAAAATAATTATTTCTTTCTAGTTCTTCCTATTATATTTCCTAAAGCTACTATAGATATAAATAAGAGAAAAACCTAGCCTATAGCTAATTATATAAAACTTACTAAAAGTAGTAAACCTAAAAGAAATAATATTAACTAGCTAGTAAAAAATCTAGAAAAACTATTTATTATTACTATAACTTAAGAGAACTTATAAAAATAATTTAATATAGCTATTATTATAATTCGGGAAAATATCTATAGCCTACTTATATAGCCTAGCTAACTATAGTAAGTATAATAGTATTAATAGTCTAATAAGTATAATTTGAGTCTTTAGGAAAAATATATTAGAAGTTATAATAAAGGTTATAAAGAATACTATAATAGCTATAGTAATTAAGCTAAAATAAGTAAAAAGTCTAGATAACTATATTCTAGAAAAAGTTAGTTTTAAATATAGTTAGAAAATATTACTTAAGTTAATATAGCCTATAGTATAAACCCAGAACTAAAAGAATAAATTTACTATAAATACTATAATAGAAATAAAAATAATAATATTAATCTAGAATATATTTATATCTTTTAGTTCTATTACTTACTAATAAAAGAATTTATAAACTATAAATATATTTACTAATTTAATAAAAAATAGTATAAAAAGCTATTTAAGCCTAGATAAGAAAGTTTTTTCTTTTTTCTTATTAGTAAGTACTAGTAATTTAATTAAATTATTTCCTAAATCCGAGAAAAAGAATTTAATTATAACTTAAATATTTAATTTAAAAATATCTAAAGATTAATAAGAAATACCTAGTTTACTAGGTAAGAAAGAAAAAAGAAAACTAGCTAACCAGGATTTATATATAGAAATAAGTAAGTTATATCTAGGGAATCTAAATAGCTGCTTTACCTTAGAAGAAATTATATTAGAATTACTAATACTTTAGGTTCTAGAATTAATAAATAATACTAAGATTTAGCTATAAATAGTATTTCTATTAATACTATAACGGGTTTCTTATTAAAAAAAAAAAGAAAAGAAATAGAAATAGCTAAAAAAGTTTTCTAAAAATAAGCTAGAATAGAAAAGAAGCTATTTTATATAAAAGGCCAGAAAATATTATTCTAAGAAGTAATAAATAAAGAAATGGCCTAGCTAAAAATATAAATATTAATATTTCCGGAAATAAATAAGATAAATTAGAAATCTAATATATTCTTAATTATAATAAGTATAGAATTTCTGAAATTAATAATATTCTAATAAAACTACTAAAGAAAGTAATTATTCTATTTTCGAAAACTTAGAAGAAAATAAAAATACTTATTAATATCTTAAAAATACTAGATCTAGCTATTATATTTTAAAACTAATAAATTAAGGATAATATTTCTTATTTTATTATCTTATAAATAGGAAATACTATTATATTAA